CATTGTGCTGATTTTTAAATCTAGTGGTTTCTTAAACAATGCAAGCATGGGAAGGGTGATAAAAATTTCCATTGTGAAAAGCTACTGGAATACATTAATAAGTAACACAGAGGAGACTGAATAGGAGGTAACTTCTAAGATCAAGTATTCTGTGTAATCTTAGAGTACTGGCAATTACAAAAGTTGGCTCAAGTCAGCTGTTAGTTGTGACATACTGGGCTCCTTTTAAAGGTGTATAAAAAGGCTTGTGTTGCTTAGTTTTTATTTTAGCAGTAATAGGGCCAATTTGATGCTATCAGATAAAATAGAGTCATGAATATATGAGTAAGGAACATATTGAGATCATTGTGCTTTAAAAGCCACCTTTTTGAGTCTTTGTCTAGCTAGTCAGGCTACGATATAATATTTCTGGTAGCTGGTGAATCTGTGGCTCATTGCAGTAAAATGACATGTTCTATATGATATGGTGTCAAAGGAATATAATTGTATTATGGAGCTATATAAATGTTATGGAAAAGGCAAGACATTTGGATCAGGAGCCACTGATCATTTAATAACATTCTTATTATGCCTCTTATTAATACACACTTAGCATTTTTTTTGGTATGTTAGTGTTGTCAGCAGCAAGGTTAATAGATTTTTCTATGGCTTTTTTAAAATAGATTCTGCAGCAGTTGTCATCTTATCTCAACAATCCACTAATGGCCATAACATTCCAAATATCCTTGGCTGAGTAAGAATCTTATGAAATGTGCTAGTTGGCTTTAGATTCTGATGAAGCTCAATGGAAGAAGTGGGAGGTCATCACTCCTTTCACTTATCTCTAGAGATGACTGGAAATAAAGAATGAAAATCTAAACAAAAATATCTAAGCCAGCTCTGTAGTGGGGACACTGTAGTTCATTGAATGGCAAGGTGATCTTTCTGCCAGTTGAATTTAGGAAAGGATTGACATAACCTAGATTGATGCAAATACAATCTTTAAAACTCTTTGATTAAATGGTGTTACTTTATCAGTAATGAGGACTTGCTTGTCCTTCCTTAGAGCCCAGGGCAAGGTTCTGTTCTTCCACCTTGTGCCCGGTCTACAGAAGGAACATTTTGGGGAAATTTCCCACTATTGCTAATTCTGAATATAAACGAGGCCTGTGTGTGTTTACGCACAAACACAGAAAGGGTCAGAGAAGAGAGGGCTTTGCTTTACAGTGGCTTTTGTATTGGTGGGAAAGGGTGAAAGGTGACTTTTTTATAAGTGATACAATGCGAAGAATTATAAATAAAACCCATGAAACTAGTGTCCTTGCAATAAATCAGATTGCCTGTTCCCTGATCTTTCATGACCACCTTGCAGGTCATATGACATCTCCTGATAAGAAACCCCTGTCATGGGTTTTCCCCCGGGGTGCAACCTGGAACTGGAGTACCTCTGAGCCCTCTGTTTCACCAGTCTGGGTTCCCTTTCACACTGTGACAGTGTGACAAGCTGCAAAGCCCTCCAAGCTTGCCCTCATACAAACATCCACACCCAGCCATGTTCATGAATGCTCTCCCAGCCACTTCATAACCCAACAATAGAAAGGCTCCAGCCAGAATACCCCCCAGCTCTCCAGCCTCGGATCCCAGAGCTATAACGTTCTGAGCATGGCCAGTATGAATTTATTACCCAGTCCACCCCTCCATCCATGTAGAGTGGACAATGCACTAGACCCCTGTTCCTGAGCAGATTTCCCTTTGCACTTCAACCAAAGCACACTATTTTAGGTAAAAATATAAAACAGATTTAGTAACTACAGAAAGTTAGATTTTAAGTGATAATATGTAATAGCATACAGATCAAAGAAGATTACCTAAGAAATAAACAAAATCACAATCTAAGGGCTTATCTACACCACCAGCTTTTAGCGACAAGACTGTGTCGACACAGCCTTGTCGCTGAAAGTCAGCATGTGTAAACGCTCCTTGTTGGCAATTTTGCTGACAAAATACTTCCAGCTCCGCAAGCGGCATTAGTTTTGTCGGCAGGAGACCGCTCACACTGTCACTTGCATCGGCAAAACTTTTGTCTTTCATGGGAGGGCTTTTTTAAGTACCTGTGGAAGACAAAAGTTTTGTCGACATCTTTTCATTGTAGACATACCCCAAGTCTTATACACTAGACAGGATTTGAATCAAGCAGTGTCTCACCCTATTAGTACAAGCAGGTTAGGTTTTGCATACATAGGCACGAAACCTCTTTTCCAGCCTGGGACCAGCATTTCCCCAATTCGGTCTTTTTCTAAAGTGTTTCCAGGTGTTCTGTTGTGTGGGGAGTGAGACCCATTGGTGATGTCATGTTCCCCTTCACAGCTTCTTTCATAGGGCGGGAACCCCTTTGTTCCAAGACAAATTCCCAGCTCAGTTAGTGGAAAAAATACAGCTACCAAAAAGGAGTTCAATACAATGTGATTTAGTGACAAGCCCTTGCATCAGGGTGGATAAAAATCAATGATTTTTTAAAAAAAATTTAAATTGGATTTTTTAATTTAAATTGGATTTTTTTGATAAAATGCTTTTTGAGGAAAAAACTTATCTAAAGATAGTTTTAATTAAGACACATTATAGCTCAAAGATATCTCATCATGGAATAGGGATTATAAATTCTAATTCTTTAGTATGAGACAATATATTCATGTAATGTTTAAGAAAAGTTTTGTAAATGAGTTCCAATAGTTCATGGATTAGGGACCCAATTTTACGGGGGTTCCACAGGCTTCTGTATAGATTATTTAGGTAAATCTTTCTATCTACCCAATGGGACTCAGTGCTCAGTCTAGAAGATACTATCAGAGATGCTTAGTTTTGCAGTTCTCAAACCGTGGATTTGTGTCTCCAGAGGTAACATGCTTGCTAACAGCAAAAATGTTTTTTAAATAAATAAATAATATACAGAGGTGAGAAATAACAGACCTCAAACTCTATTGTCCCTCTGCAAATTTGTGTACACAGAGTCAATCCCTTACCTCTCTCTAAAAGTGCAAAGTTTCAGAAAGTTCAATTAATAGAAGATTGTTGGGGGCGTAATAGATCTGGACAAGGAAAAGAAGTCTGGAGATACATGTGAGAAGTGAGGGACATATGCTTGTTTTGTGAAAATATTATATGTTTGCTGTTGAAGAAAAAAATCCAGAATACTTAACGTTGTTGTTTTAGTTAAATAAAACAATTTAAATGTCTGTCTAGTGATGTTCTCCTCCTAATACAGCCTGGCAAGAACATTCTCCAAATATTAATGATTAACCTGTTGAATTGGAGATAGTTCACTTCCCAATGACTTCATAAATATGTGCTTCAATTACCTTTGGTAAATGAAATAAACAAACAATCATTCATTTTCTGATATAGCTGTAAAACTAATCTGAAAAATTTTCAAAATAAATCAATGTTTAAAAATGTCTAGTGTGTACCTTCTAAAAATGAAACCTACATCTATCTCTGAGTTGTGAAGAATATGTAGTAAGGTTATAACAACCAACAAGAATGCACTTTTATGTAGAAAACCATGATTAAATCGAGTCTTCCATGATTTAAATCAAATCCAACCTGCCTTGCATGCTCCAATGAGTCATTGCAGCCATTATCCATAGGTTGTCTGAAAGGTCCTCAGGTGAGGATAAGCCTTTTCCATGGCCTATTGTCTTTGTGATGGACCATTCAACTTGAATAGCCCATTCATGACGTGCTGGCTAGCCTGAATGCAAACGAAATTTTGGGTGTTACCCAGGAGCAAACACATTTGAAATACAAATACATAGTCAATATTCATAACTCCAGATACAAAATGATACATTCATACAAATAGGATAACCATATTCAACAAACCATAACTTTTCCATAGACACCTGTCATGACATATATTGTACAAGATGCTACATAATTATATCATAATCATATTACTATGGTGAATATGTGGTGCAGAGTGTCACAATCCACCCTTACTAAATTGGGAGAGTATGTTGAAATGAAGAATTTATTTGGTATGCACAAAATAATATTTTGTTGATGCCAAAATAACATTTAAAACAGTAGGATCAGATTTTTCCAAAGTTCTCAGTTCCAACAATTGGAGCCAGGTTTTTCAGAAGAACTCAGTTCCTGTGTAGGCACCTAAATTGACTTTTTAGCAGTGCTTAGCTCTTAGTAGCTCCCACCATTCTCAGTGCGAGTGGTTGGATGCTAGGCACTTCTGACAATCTGGCCCATTGGTTTTCATATTTGGAGCATGGGAACTGGAAGTAGATTTCTTGAAAATGTAGGTAAATGAATGCTCTGTATTAAACACTAAGTTTTCCCCACTTAAAGTTGTGCAGTATAGTGGTTACCATAACCAGATCTGCTAGCAGTCTGGGACAGGGTATATGGCACCTCTGTTTTCAGGTTCTCTGGGGCATCTGCAGTAGGTAGACTTCGTCTGTTCAGAGGCCCTGTGCCTCCACAATGGCTCTGGGACTCCTGTCCACCTCCTTATCTCCCTAATGGAGGTGGTAGCGCAGGGGAGCCACAGAAGAGGTGGCACAGCCAAGGGCTGTTTTTGTTTCCTCAGTAATCTCTGCAGGCTGAGGAGAGGGTGATGTGTGTGCGTCCCACCCCCTGCCTGTCCCACTCACTGTTCCTTCTTACCATGCAAATCCTAACCCTCATCCCTCTAGAAGGGGGAATATGGGATTGAGGAGTGGTTGATCCCTCATACATTCCCACACCCACAATACCTCCTGCCATGTTCCTCATGGTGTGAATAAACCGGACTTTCCCCCTTTGTTAGAGAGAAGCTGCTGAGACACATGATTCTTGGGCTGATAATATATTTAGACCATTTATATAAATAACTTCCTTGGTGTAAAATAGTATAGCAATCCTTTATGATGATGCAATTATGACTTAGGGGTCTACCATATTATGACATTGCTTGGGTTGTTTTGATAAAAGATGTTTGCAAATGACAACTCTGCTTTTGCTTTCATCAGAGGCCAGCAGAAACGGTAGATGAGGAAGAAAATGAAGAAGAGGGAGATGAGGGAGAACTGAATGGAGATCAGGGAGAGGAAATGGGGGAGGCCGTTAATGGAAATGTTCTCCATAATGAGATAGAAGAAAATGAAGAGAAAATAAATGAGAATTATGAAGAAGAGCAGGAAGAAGAGAATCTTGGACAGCTGGAGGAAGAGGGGCCTTTCCACTTAAATGGTGAAACTAATGAAGAAAATGGTGAGGAAATGGAGCCGTTTAATGATCACAATGATCTTCCTCCTGAAGAAGAAACAAAAGCACCAGAGGACTTTGACAATCAAAGCCAGGTAACCGCTTATTCTTTCAATTTTTTGTTTAAAAAAAAATAGATATTGCCTCATTCATTCAGCACTAGCGCTCTGTACTGCAATTGTAGTCCAGCTCAACCACGATGAGGCCCTTGGAGTCTCGTGGAGTTTCAGCTTGCAGGAAAGCGATTTCCGCTCATTTACAACCCCTCTCATCCTATGGCTACAACTGCAGAATTATTTCTTCAACTGGCAAAGAATGTATTTGTTCCTCCATCACTCTGGCAGGTCTTTGTCCTGCCTTTGTGGGTAAGTGGGGTACTAGAAATACAAGACTCCTGCACTCTCAAGAAGAGCAGGGTGATTGTATATTTCAATCTTCACTTCCTCTGTCAGACATAGCAGGGGGACAGTGGGATGCACACAAGCATGTCTACTGGTTCATGAAACCAGTACCTTGTTTGTTTGGCTGAGTTGCCCTGCACAGAAGTTGCATTTAATAAGTGTTGCTGTCCTCATTTCAGGGAAGTCTTATTGATTTATTTAATTTTTATATTTTCAGATAGAAAAGGACTGTTAAAATAAACAAGAATCTTAAAGACAGGGGATTTCTCTTCATGGGATTTTAAAACACAAGTCTCGTCCCTTAGGACAAGGGGTGGGGCATGCCACAAATTTAGGGAGAGGTGCCTCATGCTGTACTGCTCCATTTGCTGATAGGAGAGGGTCTTCATCAGCAGGAAATGGAATCAAAAATGTCTGTGTCACGTATGAAAAGCCCCAAGTGTTCGGTAACCTGAGCAGTGGATAGATTTCCTGAGATTATGTGGTGCATGGGTTGTAAACTTAACATGGCACTCCCTGACTGGATTCCTCAGTGTCAGGGATAGGACAACTGGGGCCAGCTGTCTTATTGTATACCATTAAGAAGTGAAAGTTCCTGTACCTCCCATGATGCTCCACAGGTACCAACTTCCCTTGGTGCCGGTGGGTGCTCGCACACTTCTGGCCCTACCCCCGTCCCCGTCCCCATCCCTGCCCGAACCCTGCCCCTCCCTGCCCCTGTTGGACCGCTTGCCAAATCCCCACCCTGGCCCTGCCTCTTCCACGAGCGCACCACATTCCTCCTCATCCCCCTCCCTCCCAATGCTTGCCATGCGAAACAGTTGTTTTGCGGCACAAGCGCTGGGAGGGAGGGGGGAGAAGCAGGACGCGGCAGCGTGCTCAGGGGAGGAGGTGGAGGCAGATTGGAGGTGGAGGTGAGCTGGGGCGGGTCGGCAGGTCGGGGAGCTGCCAGTGGGGACAGAGCAACCACCAATTTTTTCCTGTGGGTGCTCCAGCCCTGGAGCACCCACGGAGTCGGCACCTATGTGATGCTCAGGATAGTCCCTGCCATACTTCTAAATTTGGGATTTATTCTGACCCATTTGTATGACACACAAGGACATTTTCAAATAAAGATTACCAGATAAATATGCAACAACATTCTCATCAGAAGTAGGATTTATTATTTTCTGTGCTTGATATGTTGATGGAATGCTTTTGGGAATGCTTTGGAGAATATGAGAGGGTTTATGCCACAAAGTGAGGCTACATCTTTGGGAGGTTCAATTTAGAAGAGATGTTTGCTCAGATGGGGCTATAAACAGAAAAAAATATTCTAATTTGAGCAAAGGTTCTGGTACTTTCACCTTTTTTCCAATTTATCCTTACCTGATGGGAAGACCCCAGGTTTGTTTAAGCTACTCAAGAATGTTATGTTGGTGACTAGCTCGTAGATATTAGTAGAAATTCTAGTGTGGTCTACTTAATTATATATTTGTTGACATGCAATGAAGTCTGTTATCTGTGAAGCTTAAAATATCGATTTTTGGTTCCTTTTTTCTCTAGATTGATTTTCATCTGGAAAAATCATCAAATCCAAGAGTAACTGTCACCAGCCCACAAGAAAGTGAAAAAAATGACCAAACCAATGAGTATGCTGCTGTAGCATAGACTTTTTAAAAAGTAGATTAGCAAAAAATGAAGGATTGTAATATTTGACATTTAAAGCATGTTGTTATCTGTGATTGATAATTTATAATGTAAAGATACAGTTGAGTACCACCTATTGAGTCTTGAAATGATAATGCCATATGGATGGACAGATAATGAACATCCTATTAAAAGGAAGATTTAATTATTTTCACAATATGTGGCTTACTGATGAGATTTTAGGGGGAAAATGTAAGGGTTTCTGTTTAGAAATACTATAAATAAGTGAGCTATTCCTTCTTCGTTATCAGATGATAGTACTAGAATCAACCCCATGTGTTAGTCTTCCAGTGTGCTACAAAAAAGCATGTTAGACGTCAGAGTTTTTCAGCAATTTTGTTTAGAAAAGAACATTTTTGTGACTTCTAATGGAAAGATATATAATGTTTTTCTTAGATTAATAAACAGCTAAAAATATGAGGTATACTTAATTTCCAGGCTTATAATTTAGAGGTAATGGGCCAGATTCTCCTCTTGATGGAGTTCACCCACATAAAACTGGAGTCGAGAATCTATCCTAATTAGATGTTCCAAACTTTATAGTGGCTTTCCAATAAAGCAGCAGCATTAGTGGTGGTTCTGTTAACAAAAAGCACATAAATAGCACTATAAATAGAGAGGGGGAGAGAGACTTCAGTACTGCAACCTGATCCATGTACTTGGATCCCTGCCGCTGCAGAAAGACCCACTGACTTCAGTAGAACTCTTCACAGATGCAGGAAGTCTGCGTGCACATAGAATCATTTGCAGGATTTGGGCTATAGAGTAGAATTGGGTAACATTTTTCAGACGCATGATTTATTTGCTGAAAAATGCAGTTTCACTTGACTGCAAACTAGTCAAGCAAATGGCATGAATTTGCTGAATAGTTTCAGACAATTTTTTTTGTGGCCGACTTAGGACCATTCACAAAATGGCTGGAGGAGGTGATGTTGAGTAGAGCAGTGCTTCTCAAGCTATCTGATGTGGGGGACTGGCAAATTTTTTTTTCCAACGTACGCGCAGACCGGCAGCCAATGGCTCGCAGACCGGCACCAGTCCACGGACCACCACTTTGAGTAGCACTGTAGTAGAGCACTTACCTGTGATGTGGGAGGCCTGTCTTCAGTTCCTGCCTCTGCCTGTCGTGGAGGAGGGATTAGAGATCAGTCTCCCACATCTCAGGAGGGTGCCCTAGCCACTCGGCTGACAGTTATAGGAGAATAAACCATATCGCTTCCTCCTCTAGCTCTTCTGTGTACCTAGCCCTTTGTTTCCTTTGCTTCCAGAAGTGACTGCTGGAAACTAGAGCTGTTGATTAATCGCAGTTAATTCACACAATTAACTCAAAAAACTTAATTGCAATTAATCACAGTTCTAATCGCACTGTTAAACAATAGAATACCAATTGAAATTTATTAATTTTTTGGATGTTTTTCTACATTTTCATATATGTATTCTCTGTAGTAATTGAAATCAAAGTATATAATTTTTATTACAAATATTTGCACTGTAAAAATGATAAACAAAAGAAATTGTATTTTTCAATTCACCTCATACAAGTACTGTAGTGCAATCTCTTTATTGCGAAAGTGCAACTTATAAATCTAGGGTTTTTTTGTACATACTGCACTCAAAAACAAAACAAAGTAAAACTTCAGAGCCTACAAGTCCACTCAGTCCTGCTTCTTGTTCAGCCAATCGCTAAGACAAACAAGTTTGTTTACATTTACAGGAGATAATGCTGCCCTCTTCTTATATAGTGTCACCAGAAAATGAGAACAGGCATTTGCATGGCACTTTTGTAGCCAGCATTGCAAGGTATTTACATGCCAGAGATGCTAAACATTTGTATGCCCCTTCATGCTTTGCCCACCATTCCAGAGGACATGCTTCCTGCTGATGATGCTCGTTAAAAAAATAATGCATGAATTAAATTTGTGACTGAACTCCTTGGTGGAGAATTGTATGTCTCCTGCTCTGTTCTGTCCGCATTCTGCCATATATTTCATGTTATAGCAGTCTCGAATGATGACCCAGCACATGTTGTTCATTTTAACAACGCTTTCACCGCAGATTTCACAAAACACAAAGAAAGTACCAATGTGAGATTTCTAAAGATAGCTACAACACTTGATCCAAAGTTTAAGAATCTGAAGTGCCTTCCAAAATCTGAGAGTGACGAGGTGTGGAGCATGCTTTCAGAAGTCTAAAAGAGCAACACTCCGATGTGGAAACAACAGAACACGAACTACCAACAAAGAAAATCAATCTTCTGCTGGTGGCATCTGACTCAGATAATGAAAATGAACATGCATCTGTCCACACTGCTTTGGATTGTTATTGAGCAGAACCCATCATCAGCATGTATGCATGTCCCCTAACCTGGTGGTTGAAGCATGAAGGGACATATGAATCTTTAGTGCATCTGGCATGTAAATATCTTATGATGCCAGCTACAACAGTGCCATGAAAACTCCGGTTCTCACTTTCAGGTGACACTGTAAACAAGAAATGGGCAGCATTATCTCCGGCAAATGTAAACAAACTTGTTTGTCTGAACAATTGGCTGAACAGGAAGTAGGACTGAATGGACTTGCAGGCTCTAAAATTTTACATTGTTTTATTTTTGAATGCAGGTTTTTTTGTACATAATTCTACATTTGTAAGTTCAACTTTCATGATAAAGAGATTGCACTACAGTACTTGTATTAGATAAATTGAAAAATACTATTTCTTTAATTTTTTTACAGTGCAAATACTTGTAATCAAAAATAAATTTAAAGTGAGCACTGTACACTTTGTTTTCTGTGTTGTAATTGAAATCAATATATTTGAAAATGTAGAAAACATCCAAAAATATTTGAATAAATTGTATTCTATGATTGTTTAACGGCGTGATTAATTGCGCAATTGATCACGATTAATTTTTTAAATCGCACGGTTAATTGCGATTAATTATTTTAATTGCTTGACAGCCCTAGTGGACACAAAACAAAATTTCTGTCAACTGTTGATTCACCTGAAGTTTTCATCAGTTTTGGTTTGGGTCGAACTGAATCCTTTTTCTTTGAACAGCCAGCAGAACAAGAAATCAGTTATTCACCCAGCTTTACTATAAGGTAAGACAGCTTCATTCAAATATAAAACCATAAGCTAATATGTTACTTTTCAAAACTGGGAAGTTTACCCAGTCACAATGTTAAATTTTAACTAACTTTTTACAACAAATATTAAGAAATTTTAAATCTCTGTAGTAGATTAACAGATTAATGGAAGAAAATTTAACTTCTGTTTTAGTTTTGAAAAGTTGTACTGCGGCTGATTTATCAGCCAATGAGAAACTAATTTATAAATGAAAACACTGGCCCAGATCCTCTGCTGGCATAACTCAGTTTAGCTCCACCGATGTCAATGGAGCCATCTCTGTTTACACCACTTGGTGATCTGGCCCACTAGTTTTTTTGCACAAAACTCTGCTATAAGGGCTCTATGTATTAATCCTGAGCATAGTCCTTACAGTTTAAAAATGTTACTTCACCTGTTGCAGTAAGATGGGTCCAGATACGCTGAGGTTTCATTTGCACTAGTACGTAAGAGCATCATCCAGAACATTGGTTGTCTTTATTACATGGATTCCCACTGTCTTTATTTTTTTTCTAAACTTCAACAGATAATGCCACTATGTTGCAAGTCATAGAAATGAAAATTTCTCGGATCTTAGCCATATTTTAGCTAACTATAGATATGTGATAGAGGTTTCTTGGTTTTGATTTTGAGTAGGTTTTTTTGTTAATGCTAGCAAATTATTACTAAACACTCACTTTTTGTGGTTATCCTGCAGTTAATTTTTTTAAGTTCATTCTAAGCTGCTGAAACAAACTTTAAAAAATGTAAAAAAGCATTCACAGTCATTGAAAACCAGCTAAACTGCTATATTTTCTCTAGCAGATATTTCGATATTTCCCCCCAATGGAAAAGTAATGTATGTTGACCCTCCAATATATCTCAGAGTGTTAGCAATAGATAGACAGATATATAAAAGGTGACATTAAAAACCAGAGGAACAAAGTCTGTACATATTGCTAGAACTCAAATATAAACTTTTACAGTGTTTAGATTTGGGTGTGGTTTATTGAACTGGGCTGGACAAAGCACTGGAGAATATTCCTGTTGGGAACAATTCTGCACTTGGGTCACCAATTCAACAAAGCCCTTACCTTGTGCTTAACACCACCTTTAGTCAGCAAAGTGTATGGGCATGTCCTTAAGTGCTTTGCTTAAGTCCCAATGACTTCAGTGGGACATAAGCATGTGTTTAAAGTTAAGCACATGCTTAAATGTATTTTATTTATATTTTAAGCAATGGTTAAAAAGATCTGTAGAAGACCTCTAGGCACTCTGACAATTAATCTTCCAATAGTTATACTGGTTGCATTTAGTTAATTTGCTCCTGTTTTATCAGCTACCAAAAACCAACTGTATCTTCTCTGGGTACATATGCTCTACTTTCTGTAAAAACCATAGCAAATAAATGGCTGTTGTAGCACACTTTGCTCAGTCAGCATTGGGTCGTTCATGTGCCTAGTTAGTATTAAGCACATGCCTAAATGCTTTGCTGAATTGGGAGCTAGGGCTCTGATCATGTGACTGTTGTACCTATGCTGAGCCCCACAGAAGTCAGTGGGATCCATGTGGTGCAGAGGTGCACCTCTTGTTACAGGATTAGGGTCTAGATGACCTAATAGGTACTTTCCATCTTCAGTACCTGTGATTTTTCCTATTACTCCTAGGATCAACAAATAGATAGAAAATGTGAAAACTTTAACGGGACAGATACAATTTCAAAAACATATTTGTGTGAAAACTTTATATCTAACAGTAGGTACATGAAGATCCCAATAACAATATTTTCTCTTTTTCTAGTTTGTTTATTCTGTGTATTTGGCAGCACGCTGTATTGTCAGTGGCATTGTTTCCCTGTAAAGTCAGTGCCTCCCTTTCTTAAAAGACTTTTATAAACATCAATGGGAGAACATAAACTTTCATATTTTTTCATTTTTTAAAAAATTTCAGGACATGCTATTTAAAGGGTTAAACTGAATTTTGTTTTCAAATTAGTCAGTTTTAAAAAGTTCACGTTGATAGTATATAGTTAACTCTAATGTAAGATTATTTCATTTATTGTCTGACAGCAGGCAGTTTTCATTCATTCTTATAAATTTCTCTCTGTTGCTTACCTAGGAAACATCTGAGCATACGTTTCTTCAGGATAGCAGATAAGACTCTTTAGAAAATAAAAATATAGGCATTTTCAGTATGTCATCTCCTGTAGTGATATATAGTATCATTCAGAACATGAATGTTGTACCAGGTACTCTTCAGTTTGCAGAGAAAGGATAAGCATAGTCTGTAACTGGTAGTTCTTATGACATCACAGTGAAAGTGATAGATCATATATCACTGAATCCTAGAGTGGGTGGCCTTATTAAGAGTGTTCCCTTTAAAATATTCAGTGGTGTAGGGATAACAGAAGTGGCTAAACTAAATTCCGTGTTCCCCAAATGAGAATTAGGGAAACTCTGTTTACCCTTGACCACCCCACTGAAGATATTTCCTTTGGACACCAACAATTAGATATCACCGATTACTTGAAAATCTTAGCTATTAGGAAAGGAGGCATCTCATTATTCTGCTTATAAATGCACAGGTCAGGACAGGACTTTATATTTGTTCTGCATAGTTGGCATTCAACAAATACTTTATTGAATTGTTTAAAGCTAAACAATAGCTATATCTGTTCACTAGGGATAGGCCAGGAAATGTTCAAATCAGCTGTGCCTTCCTAATCTGTACCCATTGTAGGCAGTTAAAGGAGGAGATTAAGCCACCAATGCAGCAAAGGATTTAATCATGTGCTTAAGTCCCATGGGACGACAGCATGCACTCAAAGTTAAGTACATGCCTACATGTTATGATGAATTGGGTCTAAATAAAGTAAGTTCATATAAGGAAATGGAACTGCCTCACCAATTTCAGTGTATGAAAGTGAAGACAAGTTAAAAAAAATCCAATCTAAAATAAAGCTAAATAAATATTTCTTGTCTGTTAGCAGAAAAGAAATACCCCCCTAAAATGGCAGTCCGTACAAAATACTGAAAAAGAGCGTTGGCCCTGGGTATCTTAATGTCTGGCTCAAACACCCATTAAGTTGGCCTTTAAAATTAGTCAGATACCAAATAAAGTACCTTAAGAAATGTTATTACAATTATTTTACTATAAAAGTTACTTATTTCATAAACCACAACAGCAGTCTAGTGCACAGGAGGATTGGAGATATCCTCCTAGTGGCTGGCTAAGAACTCCACACACAGCTAGCCTGTGCTAAATATCACATTTTTATTACTCATCTACTTCCCACCATGTCTGATTGTAGGCTGTTTGGGGATGGGGCTATCACTTACGGTATTTGTACAGCTGCTAGAACAATGGGTGAGGACTTTGGGCACTACTGCAATATAACTGTTAAATAATCACAAGAAGAGCAATTGCATAGGAATACTGTTCATAGACATATCATTTTGGGTGGTTGAAATCCCGCTATGTAGCCTCTAGCCAAACAAAGCACTCTAGACATGCCAGTATATAGTAAAACCATTCACCGGCTTATGGATTATTGTTTATGGGCACATCAGTGTATGCATCAAATTATGTATAGGTGAATACATAATGTGTGATTGAAGCTTTCTGTTACTTTGTTAATGGAAAGTAAGATGCTTTTGGTTTCAGCTGCTATTCCTTATACTTAGTACTGGTTCTAATGGTATTTCTCATTATATTTTACTTACTGAAAAGGGATTATACATAATTTAAAGTTTTAAGCACATGCTTCAGTGCTTTGCTGGGTTGAGATCAGAACTCTTGAAGAATTGAGCCCAGAATGCAGAGGAAGAGAACAGCCTAGACCTGGCAGAGACGCTGTCAATGGATGAGGAGCTCAGAAAGAGATGTGTATGGGGCTGGAAAATTCTGGGAGATAATTAAAGCCTTTACAACTATAGGGTGTAACTCTTTTAAACTGATTGAAGCCAACTCCTGGCATATCCTGTACTGCAGAGCTCCAGCGCTTATTTTGTGCCAGAGCTTGGCAGTTCATAGCCTCGGCACCTCTGGGCTTGCTACATCAGTTATAAATGTAAAAAAATTGCTTGAGCCTGGCCACCTCTTTCATTACAAATTAAGCACTGCAGAGCTCCCCACTGGTTTCAAATCAGGGATATGATGTGGCCTTCTTTATAGGATCATTTTACTCTTAGGCCTTAATCCTGCAACAATTTACTCACATGCTTAACTGGGCACACTAGCTAGCCCCATGGAAGTCAGTGCAAAAGGTCAAGAAGGTGCTTATTGGGCCCCAGGCCTTAATTTTCGTCACTTGTCCTTTGGTGTATGCTTGCAGGGATGTGGAGTATGCTTGGACCAGTTGTTTAAATCACTTCAGTAAGTGTAAAATAATCTAAAGAGAGAGGCTCCAAACCCCTATATATTTTTTTCCTCCACAATTTAAATTTTTTAAGGGGGCAGTTATTCTGGCTGCTCAGGGCAGTCCAGGCCTGGCGTAAATCAGGGTAGCTTCACTGGCTTCAATAGAACTCTACCAGTTTACACCAGCTGAGGAGATGGCCCATAAATTTGTTTAGTGTGACTCCAGAAAATTTTCAAAGTGATTCAATACATTTAGAACTGGTGGTAGTGGGGCTTTCTAGTGGTAGGCTGAGATATTTAGGCTCTGAATTCTAGCTACAATATTATGTATATTTAAGTCAGAACATGCCTTTAAATCACGGGTGCTGACACCATTCAAATGTTTGTTGTATTATTTACTTTCTTGTGTCTTTCATGTAATTATTTAGATAGTGTGGTTATAATGTTACTTTAATGTTTGCATGGGGAAAAAAAACCCTGAAATCCTAGCTCTGTTCACGCTCCCTATTTGGAATTTGACTTAAAGGTGCTTACATTTCCCAGTCTCCAAAGTGAAAGAATAGAAAAGGCTGAGCAAAGCCAAACCCCTCCCCACCGCACCCACCACAAGTAGATGGTCTGAGCACTGATTGATGATCTCCAGCAGGGAGACCAGAGCAATTCTGCCCCATTCCCTACTTCAGAGAAACGCCCCACGGTACACCCTGCTGCACAAAGAATCACCCCTCCCCCACTTGGCCTTCAAAAATCTTTTCTCCTTCCCTGTTCAAAGGGAGTACACCAGTTCTGATGCCAGAGGGAGCCTTGGCATCTACAAAGGAAGAGCACAGTTTCCCTCCAAGGCAAGTCAATACAAATAAGATGCTTGCCATCAAGTTACAGTAGATGAGAAATCAAGTGGCAATTCAAGTGGTGTCAAAGAAATGGCTCAATATGTCCAAGAGTATCTTTCATAGCTGGATACCTTCCTATTTTCCTTCTAGAAAGGAAAGAAAGAAAGAAAGAAAGTAGCTATGACAATTATCCTTTACCTACCTGCACCACAGTCTTATATGGGTACATGATATTTTTAAAAACAGGCATTAAATAAAATATACTTTGCAAAACAAATATATAAATCAAATATTATATTGTAAAATGGTAGAATGCTTTTGTGAACAGAAAACACCTATTTATTTATAAAGAGAATTCTATGCCTTCATTCAGTTATGTGTGGGATTTTTTCCCCTTATTCTGTTGTAGACCCAACATTGTGAGGGAAACCAGAGGTATGTGACAGGTTTCAGAGTAACAGCCGTGTTAGTCTGTATTCGCAAAAAGAAAAGGAGTACTTGTGGCACCTTAGAGACTAACCAATTTATTTGAGCATGAGCTTTCGTGAGCTACAGCTCACTTCATCAGATGCATACCGTGGAAACTGTAGCAGACTTTATATATACACAGAGAATATGAAACAATACCTCCTCCCACCCCACTGTCCTGCTGGTAATAGCTTATCTAAAGTGATCATCAGGTGGGCCATTTCCAGCACAAATCCAGGTTTTCTCACCCTCCACCCCCCCACACAAATTCACTCTCCTGCTGGTGCTAGCCCATCCAAAGTGACAACTCTTTACATAATCAAGTCGGGCTA